AGTTCTTGATGTCTTAACATCCAATGACAGAATAATTCCATGCTAAAAGCCATTCTTTTAAAGGTCCTGTGAGAAAATGCATTAAAAATCCCCACTCATTTAACAGTGATGGTGGTAGTGTTGCAGACTCCAAATAAGCCGGACATTAAGTTCTCTTTGGGCTGCATTGCCGATTGTGATGACAATATAAAATATCTTTCAATGGTAAAACTCCAGCTTATACTCCATGTGATGGTGGCCATTATATTCATCCAGTCATATCCCTATCCTTTTGTCACATGGTGCCAGACAGCTGCATTTATGTAGTTTGACAAACGTCCAGTCCAAAGGAACAAGCCAAGATATTATTTCTGTTGCATAACACCTTGTAGAAGTTTGTATTGAACTCTTTGATTTGCTCTGTTTCCTACATTTCAAAAATCTTCGCCAACTGCTGTATGTGTTTATAGTGTTCCATTCAGATAGAGCCAGCACTTGGATATAGCAGATATTATCAGACGCGTGAATCACTTCATTAGGAAGAACTGTTTGATCTTTCCGGTTCTGTTCACCCTCATGAACATGTTGAAATATGCATGTGATGTGAGCAATAACCTGCCAGTGCTTCACAAAGCTGCCTGTAACTATACTGTGGAATTATGTTACACATATCAATCTGCTCCATATTGATCATGTGCCACTATGTTCATTTGCATCCAATGGCTTTCTGCAGGGGCACATTATGTCATTGGTGGCCATACTGTGTGACAGAGGTCAGTGGATTTAATTACTTTACCTCCACTACACGTGTCATGGGGAAAAAAAATACACTTTATACTCACAAATATTAAGAAATAAATATAAAAATAATGTGGTGCTTACGCTATAAAAGCTGTCTGTCTATTGGTCCATACCGATCCCCTGTGACCCTACCAAGCATTTTTGCATACTGGCACAAAAGGCACTAAGAGGCAGTTGGCAAAGTAGTGTGCATGGGTTTTCCTTTTTTTTTTAATACATTAATTTGTATCATACTGTGGTAATTGTAATTTTTAATGCGTATAATTTGTGGATTTTTTTTTTTTTTTTGCAATTAGTTGACGGAGAGGTTGCAGAGGATCACAAATCCAATAACAATGTGGATGTTCAAGTTGTAGAAATAGGAGAAAACCACTACCCAATTTTAACAGCAGAGGAAAAGGAAAATCGAGATTACCTGAAATCTCTATTTGAAATCTTGATAATAATGGGAAAGCAGAATATACCTTTGGAATGCCAAAGTGCTGAAGTACCTCCAGGAATTTTCACTCCTGACAACTTCCAAGCTCTCCTGGAATGTAGAATTAATTCTGGGGATGAGGTCCTGAGGAAACGTTTTGAGATGACTGCAGTGAATTTGGAATACTGTTCTCAAAAGCAGCAGAAACAGATGATGGAAATCTGTGAAAGCTGCATAAGAGAAGAAGTTCTCCGAGAGGTTCGAGATGCCCGTTTCTTCTCCATACTTACAGATGATGCAGTCCTTTTTGCAAGTGGAGAACATTTACCTGTATTTGTTCGCTTTGTAGATGATGCAAACAATCTCAGAGAAGAATTTCTAGGATTCCTGAGTTGTGAAGCTGAAGCAGAGCTATTCGCTGCCAATTTTCTCACCACCATCACAGAAAAATGGGGTCTGAGTATGGAATACTGCCGTGGGCAAACTTACATCACATCAGGTGGAGTTTCTACCAAAATGAAATGTGTAGCATCACAATTGTTAGAAAAATACCCACAAGCTATTTATACTCTGGCATCTTCATGTGCCCTAAATATATGGTTGGCAAAATCGACACCTGTAACTGGAGTGTCTGTTGTTTTGGGTACACTGGAAGATCTATATTTATTTTTTAAGAAAAACCCAATTTTGCAGGAAGAGCTAGACTATACGATAAGTGTACTGTTTCTTGAAAATGAGGAAAAGGGAGCAGAACTTAAGGAAGTAGTCAGATCAGAGTGGATAAGCAGGCATGACACTTTTGAGATTATGGTGAGCCTTCTTGAGTCATTTATTCTCTGTCTAGACAAAATTGACTGTGATGCCTCTTTTAGATGTAATGCAGGGATAATCAGCCATGCATTTGTCCTCTCAAGTGCCTTGAGTGACTTTGACTTCATTGTTACTATAGTCATCTTAAAAAATGCCCTCTCATTCACCAGAGCTTTTGGAAAAAATTTACAAGGGCAGACCTCTGATGTTTTCGCTGCAGCCAACAGCCTGACCGCTGTTTTGCACACTTTGAATGAAGTAATGGAAAATATTGAAGTCTACCATGAATTTTGGTTTGAGGAAGCTACAAACCTGGCTACCAAGCTTGACATCTCGATTAAACTCCCTGGCCGGTTCCGTCGAATGCAGCATGCCAACTTACAGCCAGATCTAACACCTGAAAGCTTTTATAAAGAGGCTCTCAGTATTCCAACTATTCAGCACATCATTCAAGGACTGAAAGATATTTTCTCAGAACAGCATTTAAAAGCTCTCAAATGCTTGTCCCTCGTCCCATCTGTGATGGGCCAATTAAAGTTCAGCACCAGCGAAGAACACAATACAGACATATACAAAGGTGACCTCCCCAATCCAGACACGCTGTCTGCAGAACTGCATTGCTGGCGTGTAAAATGGAAACACCGAGGCAAAGACGTGGAGCTTCCGTCAAACATCTACGAGTCGATCCGGTTGTCTGATATTAAATTCTTCCCCAATGTTTATGCTCTTCTTAAAGTTTTATGTCTTCTCCCTGTGATAAAAATCGTAGAGGACAAATATGAAATAGGTCGAAGGCGTTTAAAAGCTTACTTAGAAAATACATCCACCAAACAGAGGTCGAGCCACCTGGCTTTGTTAAACATTAACTTCGATGCAAAGCATGATCTGGACTTTATGGTGGATACGTTCATTCCGGTATATGCGGAAAAGACTGGAACGGAGGAGGCTGCTGATAGATCAGAGATGCCCAAAGAGTAATTTCTCTCTCAAATTTGGATATTTGTCCAATACACAGTTTAATTTAAACAAACCTATATATTTTATAATTTTTCTTCAATCACGCATAAAACTGCTACAGTTCTTGCTACACAAAATTGAACACGATGGCACTTTCCATTCAATGTATTTGTACCTATACATTCTGCTAGAGAACGTGCCGCAAAATGTGTAGAGAATGTACACTTTTAGATGAATATTTTTGAATCTCTGCTGGGATACTTACATTATGGAATACTAACTTAAATATTTACCAGACAATGACATCGTCATCTATGCATTTTGTTGATAGCTTGTTCACATTGAGACAGTTGGATATCTCTAGTTATAGATTTGTACAATGCACACGTGTTCACTTGCATGTTATGGTTTTTGAGAGAGGTAGGAGGGGGCGGTTAGAGGGAGTCATGGCACTGTAAATAAATGTATACTAAATAAATTTGATTCATGCACTCAAATCTGCCATGCATGTGTTTAGAGATGATTGCCCCATGAATATGGTATATTTTACTTTATTCTATGGGGAAAAAAAAAATCTTTACTACATGATGTAATGTAAACCCTTTTTTTTGTTGTTATAAATGTATTTCTTACAGGAACAGATTTAAGTTTCTTTGTTAAATGGGAAGTCATACAATGTACAGGTTAATTTCTTGTTTGTATTTTTATACTGACAGTTTTTTGTTAAATGTATAATAAAGTGCATTTTTTTTTATTTTTAATTTTTTTTGTAATATTTTAACTCCCACTCCAATAGTCATTCTTCATAAGACATCTATTTAAGTAATGAGGTTTTAGGTTAGTTAGGAGCAGTCTATGATATTGAACTTGTTTCTACAAAATGTTTTTTTAACTAATCTTATAACAGGAGGTTAATAGGTAAAATGCAACTGTATAACGTAAACAAAGCCAAATTTTTTTTTCATATAGTCTACCCCAGTGGTTCACAAACTTTTTAGGTTCAAGGCGCCCTTTAATATTTCAATATTTTTCTAGGTTGTATATATGTACAGCGGTGTGGTATACTGGGCCCTTGTTCGGCCCAGTGTGGATGTAGTGTGTGTTTGTATGGGCGGAGTTATTGTGTGGTCTGTGGGGGTAGGAGGGCAGATTCATAAATACTTCATTTTATTTTTTAATTAAAAATAATTTTGATATATCTCCTTCTTCCCCCTAACCCCGCCTCCTGCTTACCTTTACCTGGAAGGGGGGACAGTACTAATCTCTGGTGGTTCAAGTCGAGACAGTGAACGCTTGCAACTTCAACGCTCTGAGCTCGCAAGAGGAGAACCTGGCGGAGCTACAGGTTAGAGCTCCCCGAGGCCTGTCTGCCTCCCTCGTCTGCTGCCAGCATTTCACTGCTAGTGGTGTCGCCGGCACACAGTTTTAGGACTACTGGGCTACCCATTCCTTAAGCATACACTTTATCTTTTGATACTATGACAGTTTTTAGTTGTTTGAACATTACAGTTTCAATGTTAACTGGGTAGTGACCTGCTAGCTTAGTAGTTTTTATCTGTATGGAAATATTTGTATCATGCAAAGACTGTAAGTGTGTACATATGGGTGTCTATATCTCAATGGATGCAAAGGTACCCATTTCTGTTCATTGGAGATTTTGTAGGTGAACAGATAATTTGCATTATACTTGTAACGTATGCACAGTAAGACACAAAAGCAGAATTTGAAATAGCTTGAGAGAGTGTGTGTGTGTGTGTGTGTGTGTGTTTGTTTACCAAAGAAAGTAGATAGTTTACCTTGCAGTTTAGAGACTGCTGGCAGAGCTCTTTATCAGTCCTGTGCAGTTTAATCAGTCATCATGACCAATCCTTCCTTTACGTAGCTCTACTGTATTCTCTAAAAGCGGTTTCTGTCTCTGGGCAGTGTCTTAGAACTTTCCAAGTAGACATTAAGATACCAGGTAGGAGAAGAGGGTAAACTGCTGTAGGTAAACTGGAAAGCTATGAACTAAATGCTGGGATATATGGTAAGTTATTCACTAAACAGAGTTTGCTATGCAAAATACAATCATGTTTGTTATAAGCAATCCCCTTCCTCTAAAGTTCCTCTAACTTTCTCTTAATTTGCTATTACCCCCAACTGGAACCACGTTGAGCTGAAGGTGTCCTGGCTCTTTTCAAATGGCAGTAGTAAGACTAAAATCAATCACACAAAATTAGAAACTACTTCCCTTGGATGCAGCTCTTTAATACATATTTAAGGTATTCTAGTATAACATTTCGAACAGCATTTCCAGGGGCCCTTTCGTATCAGCCGGCTGCCCAGCTTCATAGAGTTGCTGCCGTGCAGTAACTCTGTAGTAGAAATGAACTAGAGACTGCAGCGCAGAGAGGGAGCACCATGGGCAGAGGAGAGGTCGGAGTGAGCATGCAGCAGCTCACTCCCATCAGCCTCAGCCAACACCAGGACCACAAGATAAGTTAACAGGAGGGTGGCTCTGATGTATGTCAGATTGTGTGTGTGTGTATTCATCTGCCAATGTGTAATATGACTGCGTGTGTATTTGTCACTGTGTGCATGTGCTAGTATCTGTGTCTGTGTGTATCTGTATGTCAAGCTGTGTGTATATGTTTGTGCGATTGTGTGTCAAGGTTTGTGTATGTGTGTCAAAGTCTGTGTGTATATGAATGTGTGTATGTACGTGGCAGTACATCCCAGCAAACACTCCTGCAACCACAAAAAAACCCTATATTCAAATTTATATAGAAACACAAACACTAATACTACACCTAAATGTACATCCGCAGTTAAAAGCCAACACTACATCCAGGCACCCCTGCACCCAAATGCAAACATTACATCCAAACATACCCCTGTATTAAAACGCTAACATTACATCCAAACATACCACTGTATTAAAACGCTAACATTACATCCAAACATACCCCTGTATTAAAACCCTAACATTACATCCAAACATACCCCTGTATTAAAACGCTAACATTACATCCAAACATACCCCTGTATTAAAACGCTAACATTACATCCAAACATACCCCTGTATTAAAACGCTAACATTACATCCAAACATACCCCTGTATTAAAACGCTAACATTACATACAAACATACCCCTGTATTAAAACGCTAACATTACATCCAAACATACCCCTGTATTAAAACGCTAACATTACATACAAACACACACCTGTATTAAAACGCTAACATTACATACAAACACACACCTGGTCACACAGAAGCACACCGGCTCCTAAATACTACTATATGTTTTCTATCTGCGCTATGGTGCCAAACATTTTTTGGTGTTCCATGTTGTTTAGCGCATTATGTCAAAGGGTTCCACAGAAAAAATAAATTGGGAACCCCTGATCTAGAATCTATGGTACATCAGACCCTTATTCAACTGCTACCATACGGAGGTTGGATTCTAAAGCAAAATATTAAAGGGTTTCTCCAACCAAAAACTGGGGTTTGCATAAAACTCCTGTGTTTGGTTGTAGTAATCCTTGCTGGCACAGTCCCCACTATTAAAAAAAACACTTATTTTTATATATATATAAAAGTACTATGACCATTTCAAATCACTTGAGGTTTTGGTTTTTGTAAATTTGTATCGGTATTGGAGTGTCCTTTTTATAGATGAGAAGAATTGTTGGTTGAGAAGCAGTCATGTAGCAACTTAGGTAGCCAATCTGGAAAATTGGTTGGATAAAAACTGTGTAGCACATTCTTATTGAATGAGACATTGTCATGTTCTACATTCAAACCTTACTTTAAACTGGTTATGCAGTAACCCCTGTCATTAACAGACGGTCCCACAATGGGCATGCATTCCACTGGTGGTCAGACTATACGTGAAACTGACCTGGTTGACATTTCAGAACTCTGTTCCCAGATATTTCTTACATTTTATATTCGGGACAATCTCCATAGAAGGCGTCCTCATTATTCACAGTTCATTTCATTTGATACCCACAAACGTCAAGTGTGTTCTATATTTTCCATCCATGGTGCATTGCACTGATGATATAAAAGAAATTGGCAGTGAGATTCTATAGTTGGTTTAATAGCATTTCCAGGATCTGACTTGATGGTGAAATTGTTCCATAAAGTAGTCATTTACTGAAACGGGCATTGGTCATAGCCTAATACGTTCTATTCTATTTCACAAGCTACACACAGACACATATAAATTATTCAGCAATTCGGTGCAGGTGGTCTTTTTTTTTTTCCCCTCTCATGGTTTTCAGTTAAATTCCTTCTGAGATTCTAGCATTAAAACATATGGGTATTTCAAAGAAATGTGCAGCAATTCTGAAATTCTACTGAAAGATTTATAGTATTCCTCTTGTAGTTTTCAGATACTCAAACTATGTTGATGAAATACTTTTTCCCTTTAGGATTATATGAATCTCAGAATCCAGTGCTCATAAGGTTCATATTCTACAAAATTGTCTATTGAAACGTCTGCCAGGGTTATTTACAAACGTAACCATTCAAAGCACATACAATTTGACCTTAATTTCAATTTTATTTTGTATTCTCACTTTAATGAAGAATCCCAGGAAAGTTTCCTTGGGGGTTTACAAATCCCATACGTCTATTAAAATGTGTCACCTTTCTTCTTTGTATGTGCTGTCAAGTTTTGGAGCCTCCACAATTTTGTGAATATTATATGTAGACTGTTTCTCTTTCAAGTAAAAAATAAGGGACGTTCCAGGATGCCAAAATACTTTTCTGGTATTGTTTTTCCGTCTCCTCTCTGTCTGCTCTCTCTGTGCAAAAGACAGAGCTTATACCAGTGATTGACATGAAACCAAGATGAAGTTCCAGGGTACAGCAGACATCCCAACATCAAAACCTAATTTCAGGAAGGTGGCCTCACCAGCTACTGGTCAATGCTACCGCCACCTCCAGTCCCCTCCCTTCCGCATGTGAAGCTAGGAGGAAGTGATCAGCCGTCACTTCCTCTCAGCCAGCTGATACTAAATACTACAGGGGCCTCGTCGTCCTCTTAAAGGGCTGCGTTGCCTGTCTGGTCCCCTGTTTAGAGATAAATAATACCTTTTGGGTGACCTGCAAATCATGTAATATCCTGGAAATCACACACTCAGTCTGACATAGTATGTCATATTGTACATGTGATTTCTGGGATATTGTATATGATTTGCAGGTGTCAGGGAGACTTGGGATGTCTGTTACAGCAGTGTGGATTTCTACTTTAGATTTTCAGATTTCACAAACATTTTTATTATGGACACTAAGTACATAGCATTAAAAATCCTGGATTTAAATCCCAGCAAACCCTTCTGTCGGTTGAGCTGTTCCAGCCTATTGCATTGCCAAATATTAGTTTTTTTTATCTCGGGGTTTCTAAAGGTCTCAGTTTGTGACAGCAGAAACAAATTAAGGTTTAGGCACTCCGGTATAACAAAAAATATCAGCTTTATTGGTGCAAAAACAGCAACGCTTTGTTATCTAGGAGTGCCTGAACACTGCTATGTTTATAATAGGGTTAATCCAGCCTCTAGTGGCTGTCTTATTGACAGCCGCTAGAGACGTTTGCGTGCTTCTCACTGTGAAAATCACAGTGAGAAGACGCAAGTGTCCATAGGAAAGCATTATGAATGCTTTCCTATGAGACTAGCTGAATGCGCGCGCAGCTTCTGCCGCGCATGCGCATTCAGCCG